AGTAAAACAATTTATCGTTCGGTATGATGTTAAGTGTGTTTTCATTATTTCGATAAAATTACGAACGTAAATAGTTGTTTAATTGGTTTGAATGGTGTTTTGATTCACAGATAAAAATGTATCGTTTTTATTCGATAGGTACCGTGATTTTCTGTTTTTGTCTAACAGACGCGTGACATAGTATTTTAGACGTGTTTTTTGCCAAACATACCAATTGATCTAATCAAGCGATAAGAATTCTGAAAACAGATTTGAATTTGTCGTCAAGTCTACTTGAAATTGACTTCCCCTGCACATTTTTGATATTATCCCCCGAATTCCTAAAAATGTCATATTAAAAAAGAGTATTTCAAAATTGTTATATTTCAATTTTCGGTTACATAGGTTGAAATCAAGAAATCGAAAATTTGGGAAATTCGATTTCAAGTAGACTTGACGACAAATTCGAATCTGTTTTTAGAATTCTTAGCGCTTCATTAGATCAATTGGTATGTTTGGCAGAAAAACAAGTCTAAAATACTATGTCAAGTGTGTGTTAGACAAAAACAGCAAATCACGGTATCGAATCCCCTTAAAAACAAATTAAATTATCAAGTGGAATTGTTATCAAATAAAACTTAAAATTTAATTTGATCTTTAAATCAACACACGACATCCTATAATGGACTAATGTTTGTAGTATTACAATATTATGGAATAAACATATCATTTATCATATGGTACCGATTCGGGCACACGGTATAAACACCCACGACCCACCTATACCGTCCTATCTTGTACAATAATATAATATTTTTCATTATTTCAGAATCAAAGAGCTAGAGAAATAATTTGAAATATGTGTAGTATCTATACAGAAATTATAGTTATTGTCTCGTATTATATAGACTATAAGTTGGTATAACAAAAACACAAATTATAAGGTGGTCGTGCCTATATATATAACATTCGGTGTAGTTGCTAAGTTTTCTATACTTTTATTTTTAAAGGTACCTATCATTAGTCACTATACTTATTCTGAGTTTTTCTATGTAGGTACCTACTTAGATAGTAAGTCATTTAATCAGTTCATGGCCATGCTGCATGCACGTGTCAAAATAACGCACAATTATTTTTAACATATTATTAGGTAGGTATGTAAAAAACATTTTGTCCCATAAAATTATAAATTAAATTGTTCATTTTATAGTTAGGTATACAACATTCTATATATTTCCGTGTAATTTATTATACACAAGTAGGTACGTCCTACTACAATATACCTAACTTCATGTTATGAATCGCACATTTTTGGTAATAATAAATGTGATTATTTTTAATACAATATTAAACGTGCAACCTATAATAATGAAATATACACAACACTCATTTTTTTTTTTTAGTCAAAGAACAAAAATATTAAAATGCACGAATGTATAATGAATTTTTAAATCACGAAACTTACTTGCGAATTATTATATTGCCACTGTACGAAAAACACGCGAGTTTACATGGGAACGTATTTTATTACCTTCTCGTGCACTATAAATATTTTGTATATCACGTCATTTTATAGCTTTATACCTATAATACTATTGTATCAGTGGCGCAATTAAGGCTTGGTTATATGGGGGAGGGGTGGTATTAGAATATACGTTTTTCAAATTATAAGCAGGTCATACAATTTTTTGATCCACTTGTATAGCATCTTTATGTAGGTCTATATTGAGACCCAGCTGAGCTCGAATTTTGCAATAAACCGTTTTCTTTACATAGCCTTCTTATAAAAAAAAACTTTTTTTCATGGTTATTTAATTAAGTTTTATGTTGACAATATATAGACATTTAGTACAACTGAACTATTATTGGTCTTATAAATATTACATTTTTATTATTTACATACTATAACATATGAGTTAACCTTTTGGATATGTTATACTAATATGATATTATATAATACGACTACCTTTAAACAGCTATAATAACAACTACCTATAGATTTGTCAGTATTATTTGATTTATACTTATTATTATAGAATATATTAGATATGTGTTGCTTTGCAGTATTTGCTAACAACAATAAAATCAAATGTTGTAAACTGTCATTTATGAACTTTAAATTTAAGTATAGGTAGTTATTTTTATTGACTTTTATAAACCTACAACATACAAGGCTACATATATTATACATAGTCAATTTATTTGAAAAATTTAAAAACCTAAAATATTATTTGAACAGGCTGATTGATAAAAGCTGATATTTGATTTAATTATTATTTGTTTTTAACCGACGTCCATTTGAATAAATATTTTCTCTAAAAACAAAGCTGTCTATCCACGTAGATGCAATTTCTATAGGTGACTAGGTAACTGCTGTATGGAAATATTCAAATATAGAAAATAACAGATATAAAACACAGTAACGATATAGAATTAAAAGTTAAGCTGAACTATATAGTATTCTCAATTTCTCTACGGTAGTGGTAGTCTCTATAATATAGACTATCAAGTAGGTATCAGACATCAGTTAGGTATACTTACATACAATTGAACAATGTATGACCTCCTATAACTGTTATAAATTAATAATTGTTCTCGCAGCAGATTAAATGATTTGAGTTTTTAATAATATGTTAATCAGTGGCACCTTTGAGTTGTTTTTAATAGGATGCCAACATTTAAACAGGCCACTTTATCATATAGTATTAATATATTATGCAAATAATATGTGGTTAATCGCAGTTTCTCTAATCTTAGAGATATGACTTAAGGTTAGATACCAAAGACAAAACATTAAACAATAAATACAATGAGAATCATATAAGTAAATAAGAGTCGTCGGTTTTTACGAAGTGCACGAGGTCTGCATTTAATAATATACCTAATATATCCCAATAAGAATTTAATGTAAAGCTACTCACTTAAAAAAATACGATAAATATCATTAAAAATATAATATACGATGGTAATTGATAAATAGACAAAGTAATATTACACTCGTAGGTATATAATATTATTAAAGCGACCGGTGACATCCCCCCTCCCTCGAAATCGCCAACATGTGCAGCCGATCCCGCGCACAGCATCCATTATAATCATCGTCGTTTGTTGTCCAAGCTCACCCAACGCATGACCAAAACGCATGACTAGGACTAGTCTAGGACGCACGCGTACATTGAATACTCATAGTATATCCGTACCAGGAATGCATGAACCGCATCGCTCGTCCGGGGAACGTGGTAACCGCGCGCGGTAACCAAAAGTGTTTTTGACCCGTCGAGCGGCCGCTCTCTTCCGCGGTGGTCATGACGTGGTCGCGATGTTTTGACAATACGACATCGAAATCCGATGACCTAACCTAACCTAACCTAACCTAACCTCCGAAACAGAAAAAAATTGGAAACCAGTATTAAATTCATTACCGACTCCAAAAATTGGATACCTGTATTATAATTAAAAACCGAAAATATAGTTTAAAAAACGGTATTTTTTTTGAAAATCTTAGTATCTTGACATTTTGGAAAGTTTACTTTACACAATAGGCGATCAGACGCTCGATCGAGCGATTCAAAAAAATTAATAAACTAAGAATGAACATAAATAGTAAAGCTCTTGAAACCGATTTTTGAAACTGGTATAAACAGCTTAAAAACTGAAACTGATAATAAAATCCAAAACCAAAACAATTTTGAAACCGGTGTACAAATCGAAGCCAAAACAGAAATTTTTTCAATCGGTTTCAAGCCATGTAAAAGTAATAATTGATAACCCAAAATGTATATTCTACCCTCATCGCATTTATGCTTCCATTATGTTAGAGAACACTTTTATTTTACCATTAACACTCCGTTTATTCCTAATTAAATAAACAAATTATAATTTTGATTTTAGCCTTTTAGCCTTCTTTTACGACAATTTAATAAAATACATTATATAATTATATTACATAGAAATATGTATAGAAATGAAAAATATATTATAAGAAAGATACAGGTATTCACTTATCAGTTACCACTAATATAATTTCTCAACAAATCCAATAAAATAAAAAAATAATTTTGTTATAACCTCTAGCAATGGCACCCCTTTGAGGACTCAGAATTTGGCGCCCCGGGGCAATTGCCCCCCCCCTAAATATGCCACTGCCGGTACTGGAGTTTTCGGACTTCAGGATTAAGGAGCAGTGGCGTGGCGAACATATTTCTAACCCTAAGCAAAGTATTTAAACAATGACCCCCTATTAGATAATATACATCAATTTAAAGATGTATGCTGATTTAGAATTTTTCTTACAGAACGTCATAAATACTTAACCATAAACAAAATGCTATTATAATTAATTATACGTTCGTCCACTCAAATTTTAATTTAAAAAAAAAAATAATAAATTCCTCGGGCTAAACAATTGCATTGGGTAAATGTCGTTCAGCACGCCACTGCTAATGAGTGAGACGTTATTGCCTTATTGGTAGGTACTGCAGTAGTGGCTAATATTATGAATTGGATTCCACTCGCACAGTCATAAGTCTCGTTGTCATAATCAGTGCGCACCAGTGTTTTGTCTGGGTAGACTAAGCTGGGGCCACTGATTTAAATGGAGGGTCAGTGGCGAAACAAAATTCGCTATAAAGCTCAGATTTTCCTCCGTTATTGCTACCACTACCACACAGTGAGTAGACCGGATTGTATCAAAACCCAGTACAGACGAGTCGCACACAAAAACTAATTTTATACATTTTAAAATTGTATGTAATTCTAAGCAAAAATGATTTTAAATTATACAGTTTGGGCCAGCCGTGGGCCGAGAAGATGGCCCATCCCTGGCACCGCCACTTGACTCATAATTATGTAGGTACTATATTTAGTACTAATGTTCGTATGCATATTAGTCAACGTATGGGTATGTGTCATACGAGACAGAAAACTATGCTGTCTTATGTAGTTATGTCACACATATATTTACTATGCTTAAGGGCATAACTGCATAAGGCTACTAACTACTAACTAGGGATGGGATTTTAATGCCGAAAAAAAAACAAAATTACCCTCAAGTAATATTGTAGTAGCCTCAACAATGTAAGCAATATAGTCATATAAAGGCAGGTACATAGGCCGAAAATAGTTGAAATACTTAGTTGCAAGTTTGTAATTATAATTGACTACTCTTTCGAAATTTGATATTCATATTTATAAGAAATAATCTGCTTATAGGAATAATATATAATAAAATATATCTATTGACGTTTAAAAAAATATACTATAGGTAAAACTAAAATAATTAGTAGGTAAACAAAACCGAGCCAATGTAGGTACTACCTTTCCAAAATGTTGTTTTATAATGTCATTAAATTATTCAAATCGATATTTTCGAAGATGTTAATTTTAATATTCAGACGCGTACACAAAAATTATTTGGGAGGGGGGGGGGGTCAACCCCCCACTGTATACGCGCCTGTTCATGTTTTTTTTAAATTATGAGTGTCCTGCGGTAAAAAAAATCATCATATATATTTATTTACTATAGATAATCTAATTATTTTCCAAAAGAATACCGTTTAATGTTTTACTTATATTTACTCAATAATATAATAATTTATGACTAAAAATAATTTGTTACGGTACCTGATTTTCATTTACCTACTATCTATATATGTTTTGCCCTCGCCTTTGAAAAATACCGGATACGGGGGCCCTACAATTGCTTCCGTTTTCCTCTTCCGGAACGATTATTGTCGCATTGAGCGTCCCGATATTTACGGTCGACCGCGTTGCAAAGTGTATTTTTACTCATCGTTAATGGCTTCCGGCCGAGCTCGATTTTTGTGTATTTAGTTATAGTGACGGTCGGTATATGGCCGTGCGGGAGGTGACGATACTTAATGAGAGTTGCACTTCGTAAGCATTAAGTGGTATATTGTTTTATAGGGCATAACCGGAAGCTGCCAAAAGTAAAGATAATATTTTTTTCTCGAATAGAACGTTTATTCCTAATTTGTTTACTGTACTGTGCAAGGCAGTAAAAGCCTATATTAACCTCCTATTATAGATTGCCCCATATTCAGAGGAGAAATTAGTATTTTTACCATAAAAATAATATAATTCCAACTGTAATCACACCAATAATATTGTAATATCATCAATGAGTATCGATTTATAATATTTTATAAAATTAGAAATTATAATAAAATTCAGAAATTACTGTTGAAGATGATAATAATTTAAAATGTGCTATACCTTACCTAATTATGGCCGCCTGGCGCTTATTAATGAAGGGCCCTGTGCCCCCGTATAGTTCAAGGGCCTACTATCCTACAGGACAGTAGGTTAGTGGTCTAGTCCACCCCTGCTGCAAGGGGGCAATTTCAATGAAAAAAAAAGTGGGTGCCATAACCATCTAGTGACTATTAAAATGTAAATTACACCCAAGCCACTCCCCCCAAATTGCACATATGACTGAACTTAAATTATATTGAGTCAAACTAAATTTGTTATCATCTAGCGTAGGTATATTCAAACAATATGTTGATACAATATATGTATTTGTTACAGTGGAGTAAATTTAGGTTTCACTATTTGAAGCAACATTCTGATCGATAAAAAAAAGTTCAATTATATCTAATCTATTCAGTTTTTAAACTAAAATACTTATGCATAATATTTCCTATATTATATTATAAAATATATACTGTTATTAAGTTGAATTTTTCCAGATTGAAAGATTTTTTTTCTGAAATAGATATTAAGATATTTAAAGAACATATAGATAGGGGCCTTGATTTTCAATTTGAAATATGGTTTAGAATTTTAATTTTCTTAAGCTTTAAACATTTAAGCATAAGTGGGTAAAACAATCTATATATATTTATTAATTTTTTTTTTTAAATTTAAGGTGATTCCAGGTTTGTTTATTGGCAGTTTTAGAGACTCAAAAGATTTTGCTCAATTAGAAAGTAATCAAATAACTCATATAATTTCTGTATTGGATGCGCCAAAGAAAATTCATCAAGTTGGTATTTTTGAATTATGAAAATATTAAAAAAACGTTTAATACAATTATTTAAATTTAAATTTATTTCAGGACAAAAAATATTTGTGTATTGAAGCTATTGATAGTCCTGAACAAAATCTCATACAATATTTTCAAATATGCAATGATTTTATACATAAAGCTCGTCTTAAAAATCAAAATGTTTTGGTTCATTGGTAGATAATACATTTATAATTTTTTAGTGAAATATTAGATCAACATTTTGATAAGTTATAATATTTTGATATGTTTCAGTTTGGCCGGCATGTCGAGAAGTGTAACAATAGCTGCTGCTTATATTATGTCCGCCACTACAATTAAATTAAAACATGTACTTCGACTTCTGAAAGCATGTCGATCCATTGCAAGTCCCAACGAAGGATTTAATAAACAACTTCAGTATTATGAGTGCAATTATTTATTAGAAGTGCGTAATCACCATAGAAAGTATTCTCGAGACTATTCAAAAGTTAAAATATTTTTTCAATATTTTATAATGTGTCTGAATAATTTTTTTCAGGAAAGAACAAGATTAGCATCTATTAGCCATTCCAATAAACAACTTTTAGCAGATGAAGAATATTGTAAAAAAATCTTTCAAAGTGAAGATCACAAAAAATAAGAAATTTATTAATAAAAAATTTATGAAAAATAAAACAATTAATACAATTTTAGAATTAATACTCAATAACACACTTTTTAAATATAAATGGGTATTTAAATTTAATTAAATAAAATGGAAGACCAAACTTAGAAAAATTTCTTATAAAGAAAAAAATAATAAGTTCTATAACATTAATTAGATAGATTAACTTAATACAATTAATACTCATTCATTAGACTTTATTATTCTTCGGACACCTCGTCCTGGAGCTTTGGGTTTACTGAATTTTGGTTTATCAGATTCTTTTTCTGGGTATAGTTCATCTAATAAATATTTCTCATTGATGACATCATCATTATCTATTTCCAACTATAAAAAAACATTCATTTTTCACAATTAATTTATTACATTTCATATTAAAATAAATAGATCCTTACTTTTTTATGAATTTTTAACTTATATAAGTTTTCTAATTCTTCGATAAAAGGTGATTTGCAACTGGAGTATAACATCCTCACTTTTATGGGACACGAGTATCCTGGCATTGAATAAATGAAAACTAAAAATGATAAAAAAATTGTAATGACAGCGTAATTATTATAAGATTTTTTTAATGTATTTAAATATTTAATGCATTTTATTTTATTAATGTTTTAATTATTTACACAATATTTATAGTGGATACTGTTTAAAATATATAGTTTTTATAATTATTATATAATAATACTAATTTATGAATTATTAATTAGATTATTTTGACTTTTACAACTTTGCTCACTGATGTATTAATTAATATTTAAGCATGATGTATAAACATTTTGATTTATATATTTTAAATTGGTGTACTTTTATGAAATTCTTATACACAAATCATTTTTTTCCTTTTTTTTTCATTTTGAAATATACAGTCTATACAATCTTAGTACAATAAGCATATGTGATATAAATGTTTATGGTGTGATTGTCTTGAAGAAGAAGCAGCTCACCAACAGCACTTAACAGGAATTTTTTTTTGACTCGTGAATGTTGCAATCAATTAATTTAAATGGTTAGGATATCATTGGCGTTCCATTAGAGCAGGGGTCTCCAAACTACGGCCCGCGGGCCGGATACGGCCCTCCAACAAGTTTTAACCGGCCCGTGGCCCGCATATGTAAATATAGATAAAAAAATTATTTCAAAAATGTATTTATATTATATAATAGTTATACCTATTTATTTTTATTTAAGTATATTGTAAAGTAAACAATATTTTATACAAAAATATAAAGTAAACATATTATTTATATAGGTAGGTACCTATATTGTCATAAAATTAAAAATTATATGTGTTAATAAACTTTTGGCCCGCTAAGAGCATTTGATTTTTTTTGTGGCCCTTGAATAAAAAGTTTGGAGACCCCTGCATTAGAGGATGAGAAAAGGATGATAAGTGAGTATGAGTGTTATAAGGTATTTATACCTTTGAAGCGCATGATAACTATAGTTAATAGGGAAAACAAAAGTGTGATCATAGAATTAAATTCTGTTATAAAACTGTTTGGGTATGTTGGTTTCGTTTGAATATATGATTATTATCAGTTGTATTTTTTTAAAAGGTTGAAAGTTCTAATAGTTATAAGAGTTAAAAATATATTTTAAAACTTTTGGTTACATAAAATTGTGGATAAATATTTTATTCTGTAAATTTATATTTTTAATCTATTCAGTTTTAGCGAAAATTTTACTTTTTACCATTTACTATTTAGTGTAATAATTACGATAAATGCTAAATAGAAAATATAAATAATATAAAATATTTATAATTTTTGTCATATAAATACACAATTTCCATTAAGGATTAATTGATTAGATCAGTTTATATATAATATAACTATAATATAACACATTTTAAATGTAGTATTTACTTACAAACAGAGTTTGTTTGGGTACCATTTCTTTTATGTTGGTACATATAAAGATGATACCTAGCATCATTTTTAGGAACTTTGTCATTGAGAAGGCTCACAGATACATTGTCCGAAGTAGCTAACTCGATACTCTCTTTTGTCATATCTAATTAATACAAATGAACATCAAAAATAATTTCACAAAGAAAATGTTAATAGTTAAATATATGAATATACCAATGTAAAACTGTACGTAGTTAACTTCACTACTATCCACAAATATAGAAAGTGCTGTTACAGCAGCAACTGACATAGGAAACTTGATACCAGATACTGCTTGAGATCGACTGTCAACAGACACTGATGTACTATGTCCAACTTCAGCTTTTCGAAGTTCCGCCATTTCTTCTTCACGGATAGTTAAAGGTACTGGTGCTTTTTGAGACAGTCGACTTTGTTCCAACCCATCAAGAGTAACATCAATCTGTAAGATAAACAAAAACTTTTAACTTGAATTGTCTAATATATAATACACATGTATATACTGTCTTATGACTGTTTAATTTTTCAAAACAAACATGTTGTTCCGTTCGGTTATTAAAAAGACGAACTGAAAATTGTAAATTTGTAATCATAACCATTGCCTTAAGTTAAAAAATTAGGGATATTAATATTACTAATGTATAGAATTTATTTTACCATGATAGTTCCATGAAGTTCTTCTTTGATTTTAGCACTACCAAATTCTTGTTTCAGTGTAGCTTTTGTAGATGCATACAACATCTTTTGTCGAATAGGTGCTACATCAGGACACCAACTTATAAGCAACCAATCATAATTTTTGGTGTCACTTTTTACATCAAATCTAAGGAAATTAATTAATACATATTTTTAATTATATATTCCATACGGATAATACAAATTTATTAACAATTTAAATATTTATTATACCTATATAATACATAACATGGTACATCCGGTAGAATAAATTGCTTGACAACTTTTTCAAAATCGTCTTTCCATGATTTGTGATGTTTTTCGTGACCAGATAGAGAGAGTTCCTCTAAAATAAAATTAAATAACATTAATAAATTGTGTTAATTAATAGGAAAGTTTATAAAAATTTCAAATCCAAGATAAATAAATAAATTATAATTTGTATTTGAATGGAATTTATATTATTAATAGCCATTTTTTAATTTAATACTTTTCAGCATTGTTTTTCTATTCTATCACATATCTATACTGTACAAGTTATTGATACAACTCACATTCATATATATAAAGTATAAAGTTACTTAGGTTTTAGATTCAAAAATATACATAATATAGTTTTTATGCCCAGTAATAAAATTATAATTTTTGTATTAAGAAAAAAAAAATTTAATTTGATAGGTACATTCTTGATTGAATACTGTTACAGGTTAGGTTATACAGTATTTTTAAAAATATTTGGGATTATTTGGACATATTATTTTCCCTCGATTATTAGCATTTTATCATATAATTTCTTTGATTATAATTTAAAAAAAATATATATAATTACACATTAATAATCACACATTAATTATGCTATTTATTCAAAATTAAATTTGTACCTAATTGTAACTATTAGAATCATGAGTTCATGACATATAAATTGTCTTATCAGTTAATTGTTAATATGCTGAATACTGTCAAAGGTCTTTCAAAATCATATATAACTTTATACGTATTATCTTCGGCGCAATTAGGGTATAGGTGGTGGGTTGGCTTAAGTGGTTTAGCCCCCCAAACATTTTAAGATTATTCAATATTATGACAGTAGGGCTTCAGCCTCCCCCGAATCTGCAATGCTATTTCCGCCTACGACTGTTATCACATTTTAATTTTTAAGTACAGTGCATATTAGTTAAGATATATAATCCACTGTATATTCAACTTTAATAATAGTGATGAAACTCTTGTAACATTGAACTTTTATAACTGTCTACTTAAATTGTATGTAATAGATGTCAAAATAGTTTAAGAAATATATTTAAATTCAATATTTTTTTTTGTATGTTATAATTTTATTTACTAATACATCCTTGATGTAGTATAGATATTTATAGATATGAATCCAATAATAATAATAAAAAACTAATCTATGCTACTGATCTTTTAGATATATTAATATAGAATATGAGTAATATACACAAAAAATAGAAATTGGACAAGGGCCAATATAAGAAACAATTTTTGAGAAATTGGATATGTTTAAAATAGTAATGTTTTCAAAAAAGTATACTTAGATATATTTAATTTTAACGAAGATGAATAATGGTGCTGCACTACTTCGGTAAATTTTTTTTAGTAAGAATATACATTAATACAGTATTATGATTATTAGCAATCAACAATTTTGTAGACAATTTCATATTTATTATTAGTTTAATCAGACATAAAGGTAAAAGATCAATTTTTTTAAATAATGAATATTCAGGGAGGAATATTAGACAATGTTTGAATAACATTTAACCCCTTCTTAAGATAACAATATAAGTTTAATAAAGTACTAAAATATTGCAATATTTCATTAAATTTGAAAATGATCAACTAACCGTCTACAATAGACACTTTAATGGCCCGAACACTCTTGTCTGATGCTGCTTTGCTGAAGAACTTTCTTAGGGTATCATTTGCTGAAACAAATATGAAGAAAATTATTTTTTCTTAAAATTTCAAGTATCCTAATATTGGTATTTAAAAATTTCAAACAAGAATATAAATTTTTTGATTGATAATTTTTTTTTTATTCATAATTATAAATCATACAAATTGTATTTTATTTAGCTTATTAAGTAATTAAAAAAAAAATACTAGGTATCATTACTTTTTAAATTTGATAGATTCAAAGTTGGTGCATAATGATGAGTTGCCTATATCAGATCTAATTATATTTTAACTAAATGTATTAATTTTATTTTTTTATACTTATACATTATACCTTTGATTCCCGTCTGGTGTGACATTTTGGCATCTACAAATCACCGAAGTAAACGGTTTGAATGAATCTCGCGTATGCACTTAGATTTCGAATTAGTCCACCTCGATTGTTAATGAATAATGATACGAATTTCCTCTGTTATTTTCTGGCTGTTGATTGATAATTACTATCGGGGAGGGGAGGTGGTAAAATAGTTATTAAAAATAACTAAACGTAAAGTATTATTATTTACTATTTTACTGTCATATTATATTTAATAGTGAAATCTCGTTGACCCGTCGTGCAATAATAATATAATAACAAAAACAAAAATTAATTAAAATTATTTTAATCACGGAACAATATCGAATGACGACGATGATAATTCTGTTGATAACAGAAGCCACCCGTGGCACTATGCTTTGAGACGCTGTTTCTCGAACAATCCTTTGTGTTTTGTACCGAACTCGTTTCCCGCCCAACGTTTACCGTTCTCCCGCCCAGTCCGCCATATTATTCATTTCGTCGTTTGTTTACCCTCATCAAACCCGTACATCATCAGTCGACGTAAACCGTTTATTTTGTTTTTTTTTTGTAATTTTCCGGTGAATTTCCGCATATTTCTCCGATTGTTATTCGATTTCGATCGATCCCGTCGCCATCAGAATATCGTCTATCGATGAGGTTCCGGCGCGTAACGATGCGTTTTGTCGTCGCTGAGCTCGATCGTGTCTAAGCGTCTGACCAAAAAAGTCGTCCCGTTATCACGGACTCGTGAAGTCTGCTGCTACTGACAGGTAAATATGCAATTCAATTTCGGATAGGTTAGCGACTTTCCCCATTCGCCAGCCACGCCGTGTGAAATGAACGCCACCCGTTTTGTTATAGATTTGTAGACTGGTACGACAGTGACATTATCCGGCCGCCGTCATGTTTTACTCGCACTTTTCGTTGTCCAAGAAAGGGCCGCTCGCCCGTATCTGGTTGGCGGCACATTGGGACAAGAAATTGACCAAGGCCCAAGTGTTTGAAACCAACATCGAGACGTCCGTGGACGGAATATTGCAGCCAAAGGTGAGTGGTGAAAATGTCACCTAATCCGGTGTACCGATGGTTTTTTAAGCGCGTCACTAATAATTGTACCCGAAAACAGGTGAAAATGGCTTTACGGACGTCTGGACATCTTTTGTTGGGTGTAGTCCGAATTTATTCACGTAAAGCCAAATACCTGTTGGCTGATTGTAATGAAGCGTTTGTCAAGATTAAAATGGCTTTTCGGCCAGGCATGGTCGACTTGCCCGAGGACAATCATATAGCAGCAACTAATGCTATAACACTCCCAGAAGTATTTCATGATTTTGATACCGCCATGCCAGACCTGAAGTAATTATTTTTTTTTGCAACAAAAATCATTCAACAAGATATGTTTAATGTTTATTTTAATTTTAGCGATGTTGATATTGAAGCACAGTTCAGTCTTAATCAGTCTAGAGCTGAGGAGATAACTTTGCATGAAGATTACAATATGGTTTCTAAAAACTCTGGTTTCGATCAAGGATTTGGATTCTCTGAAGTTGAGAATTCCGATATACTTCGTCATGGAATTGAACATTCCTTGTTGTTCAGTGAAGGTGTCGACCATTTGATGAACCGCGATAAAGAACCTATAGCTTCAACTTCTTCTGGATCTGGAATTTTAAGCCAAAACAGTTTAGGAATGGATGCTCCGATTAGAGATGATGGATTTGGAGGTAACATCGGTCAAGTTATCACCGATAACTTTTTTCAAGCCGGAGGTTTATTTGATGATGTACCTTCTGCTCCTATGGAAGTTGCCGATGGTCAAGGTCCTCCCAGTCCTCCCCCATTTAATACACCTAACCGAAATGATGATGATGATGATGATCATCACTTTATGCCTCCTAGTCCTGGTAGACAAAGCTCAGATGGTTCAAGACCAGCATCGCCTGTTAATTTACCATTCCCTAATGCTGGTGCATTAGGTCTTATACCATCTCCAACTCGAGATCAAACGTTGATGCCCCCGCCAGATATTGATATGCATGACATGCACGATATGCATGATATACATGATATTCAAGCATCTGAAGAACCTGAGCCATTAAATGAACAGAATGCTTCTGTAGATCAAACTACTTTGGTACAAAATGAAGAAGAAAGTTTTGCTTTAGCTCCAATTGATGCTAGTGCTTTGAGGGGATTACCAAAGACTAAAAGGAAGCGAAAACTTATTGTGGACGAAGTGAAAAATATTTCCGGTGAAGAAATGAAAGCTCAGTTGAGTGATACAACAGATATTGTAATTACATTAGATTTAGCACCACCTACTAAAAGACTAATGCACTGGAAAGAAACAGGTGGTGTTGAAAAACTATTTGCTCTTCCTGGAAAAAATATACCAGCAATACCGTTAGCTAGAGTAAGTTCAAATTTATTTTATTACTTGTTACTTAGCACATTAATCTTTGTTGTATTTAATTAATTCAAAATTGGATTTCTTCTTTAATTTTTAGAATTACCAAAGACATTTAACAGCAAAAACGTTAACCAATGATGAATTAGAGGGCGAAGGTGGTGTTGAAGGAGATGAAGAAAATGTATTACCTGCAATAGCTGGTCCAGTACCTGGACGTCGTGGTCGTAAAAGAAAAATACCTATAGATGAAGAAAATCTAAAACCCGCTAAAAAAGATGTTTTGCCACCAATACCGGAAGTAACACCCCAAGTTGTGAGTATTTAATATTTGTAATTGATAGTTGCCTAACTAATTATTATTTTTATACAATTTGTAGGTATTAAAAAATAAAATAAAATTCTCGATTCGTGAAGTACATATATATTTATTAAACTAAATAAATATATTATATGATGTTTTTTTTCTAATGAACTTCTTAAATTACTTACAATTGTATATTTTTCTAAGGAATCAATGGAAGTGGAAATTCCCGCACCATTGTCTGTGGCTCCTCCTACACCAGCTATTCCTGAAGAAACGGAACATATTGAAATAAATCAACAACAGCCACCAGTTGATGAACCTCAACAACCATTTATAACATCACCATTAAATGATAGTGGTCAAATGTTACCCCCTGGAACACCCGCACATAAGTCAGTTGATCCAGTTAATAATGAAGATCAGGTAGTTATGATTTAATATTTATTTAACATTTGTTATTGGCATGTGGTACATGTCTTAAAAATTAATATCATAATAAATAATTAGGTAAATTCTTTGGTAACCCAAAAGATAAATAAAAACAGTTTCAGAAAAATGTGGAATATTAAGTTTTAAAACTTTTAAAGTATAATATTCAATGTAACTAAGAAATACTAAATAGTAAATACAAATTGTTACGTTTTAATATGTTCAAATTACAAATTCGGTATTTAATTTATTTATACTTGACTAATAATTTTGAATTAATATCAAAAGTTAACAATATTTCCTTTGTTATTCTTGCATAATTGCTATAGTAATTTTATCAAAACTTAAGTTTGAATTAAACCTGCATTTGAATATTATATTGTATAAATTATAAAAAAAAAAACGTGCTAAAATTATGAAATTTGTTTATTTAAATATTTTAGCTTATAAATCCATTTGATGATTTACAAGCTCCGCCATCAGTCCATGATACATCTGAAGCAAATGATCAGCCATTACAACCGGAATTACAAAACATGGGTTATGATAATCACATAAATCAAGTAAGTAGCTTAAATAATAACATGTCACAAGGCTATTTAAACATATTCATTGGAAAATTTAAAATTTTTATAATCTGCACTTGTTGGACAGATTAAAACAAATGTTTAACAGTATGTATAAGTTATTATTATGAATATTAATTACTATTTTTAGTCCAATGATTTCAACCAAGTTATTATGGATAATATGGGTTACGATGGTCATCACAATGCACCTGTTACACCAGGATTACCTTCACCAAGAGGTGGTGCAACACCTTGGCGTGACCAAGATTATGATTATCCTGCATCTGTTGGACCTGTATGTTACTTAATCTAATATTTTCAAATAGTTTGTTTCATACTCATTGTATTATATTTAAGGTGGAAGAGCAACAGGCTCCACATGAAACTAATGAACAATATGAAGAACGAGTAATGAACAAAAGGGCTAATCAGTTGTACCATACAATTAAGATGAGATTCGCACAAAAAGACACTCTTATTTTTGACGATCTTACCTACAGAAACCGGAGAAAAGAGGTACATTAATTTTATTAAGTGTAAAATAGTCAATACTATACTCTGTTATGTCTAAAAGTAACCTCGGTCGACGGGTTTCTGCATACAGCGGCTACAAGGTGTTATATAACTGAACCGAACAAAAATTAGTTGATGCCATTTGTTTTTTTTGAGACAGAGTTTATATCAATAAAACTATATTGGTTTTGTAGTATATTGTTTAATTTAGAATTCTCAACCAAGTTTCAAGATTTATAGGAATTGTGTATATTAAAAACTAGTACTTATATATTTTAAATAATTTGTAATATTAATATAGTTCCCCATATAAGTTTGAAAGTTTGAGTATTTTCTAATTTATTCAAATATACTATTCTCGTAAATATTCCATTTTAACATTATTAGTTTGATTATTACCTACAGAAAAATTTTATTTTTACTTTTAAAATTAAGGATTATACATTTGTGTATAATAAGTAAAGTACATGTTAACAAGTTATTATTATTTTCAATATTAATTTAATATTTTATATATAGTTAATTACTATCTTTATATATTAATTACTATATTTTATTGTTTTATTATAATATTGCATTGTTTGACATTTCAGGCAGCCCAGAAGTTTTATTCCGTTCTGGTTTTGAAAAAATACAAAGTCTTAGAGCTAGTTCAATCTGCCCCATATGAACCTATCCAGCTAGTGAAAGGCGCATGTTTCACCGACCCAAAGCTCTAAATGTTTTTATTAAATGGAGTTTATTTTAATAGTTTAACAATTTTATGTAAAATGGAAATTTTGTTCAAAAGACCTATGCCAAGTACAACACTATGCGCTTTATGTAAACAAATAAATATAATTATTAAGATGTATTTAGACAGAAAAATAGGTGTAAATCGAATTTAAGGAAATTTTGTTCATATTTATTATTTTTGTTTATAAGATTTGGTATACAAGAGGTCAAACTAATATATAATTAATGTAATTTTATGTATTATGTCCTCCCATTATTTGTTTGATCTTATGTATACTTTCACGATTTTTGTAGTTGGCTAAATTAAGTTTAAATATTAAATACCAATTTTAATCATGTAAAATTTTGTCAAAACTCTTAATCAGAGATTATACGCATTATAGTGTATAATTCTGATCAAGTGTTTACCCATGATTACTCTATATCAATCTCAGAATTATTTTATTCAATTTACTTTTGGAATACACAATGAAATGTTTTTAATTTATTTATTATATAATATACATATGTTTATAAATTATTTATGTTTAGTAAATAGTTATAAATTAAATTTATTATAATTGATAACAAATTTTGTATGTTTGGACTTTTATATAACCGAGTCATATTATGTTGATATTAAACGTTCCAATTACATTAATTATTATAATGTAAATGCCGAAGTTTGTTTATCTTTCATAATAGGATTTAGAACTGTATTATCTTCTGGATGATTGTGATGCTTTGACTTGTTTCAAAGTTGACTAATATAATATACAATATTTTTAAAAAAAGTTTTAATTAATATATATGTACCAGGTGATCCTTTTAACGTAAGAACGTAAAAACTACGATTTTGAAAAGAAATTTTTTACATAATTATAAGCTGCTAAAAAACAACGATTTTTTTCAATCCATATTGTTATATATGTTGTTATTCAAAAGAATAAAAGAATCAAAAAATGTTCTTTGGTAGTGACTTTAAATTATGTTAAACAAATATTTTCAAAAAATTTATTAGCGTTTTCCGAAATAATAGTGTCCCACGTTAAATGGATTATCCTGCATAATATCATTGATTATACAAAGTATCTGCTATTATAAAATATATACTGCATGTACTGTGGCTCCGAGCCCATCCATTAGGTATGGCAGTTGCCCCACCTGTTTTAAGGGGTGGTTGTACCCCAACATTGGTGGATAATCATAATCCTAAGTATAAAAATATATTGTACAAATATAAGAAAGGTGACTTCCTAGTGTGTCGTAGCGTGCAGTGTGTACTGTGTGATAACATTAGAAATAGCCAATAACTAATTAATAATTGAATTAATAGTTTTACCATTAATAAATAAATTCTAGTATTTATAGTCAATAGTATTGTGTAAAAAGTCAAAATCTCTGATGATACAGTACACATAGTATTTTTATTTTACAAGTGATAAAACAATTAGTACCTAAACTACCTGTCAACTGACATAGCGTGGGTTATGGCCCCCGGCACACATGAATGAATTTTATTTTACAAAAGTATGGGCTTTAATATTTTATTTTTATTTTGTGGCTGCAATCACCTTTTATGACATTAAAAATGGTTCAAATTTCTACTTCAGCATTTTTTCTGATAGGAAAGTGAATCTAGTTGCCGTAGTTGGTACTTTGGGTGGTCAAAACTCAAAAGTAAAAATGTTCCCTGTAATTTTCAAAAGCGCCGTGAAAAACAAAAAAAAATTAACAAATATAAAAGTAATTTTTACACAAATCCAGTTATTGACAAAATCGATTAGGTATGTTTTTCTTTAATAATTCAAAAATGAATAACCGTACAAACTTTATATTTTAACAAAATTTTTATATAATAGATGAGCATTTTCCTGAAAGATAATTCCTACAAGATACCTATTCCAAAATTTATTGACTCTTTTCGAGCTTTAAACATTTTTATTTTTAATTATCATCGATAAATAATTTTCTCTTTCGGTCAAGTTGAACACAGATCCACAATATATTATTTCCAATGTGGGTCTAAAGTTAAAACTTGAACAAAATTCATTAAAATTAAGAAAATTAAAAAATTTTCGACTGTACTGAAAAGTTAAAAGAAAACCTTACCAGAAAGTCACATTAATTTGTGTTGAGACTTAACTAGATAAATTTATAATATGTAAAATGTTTGCTGTATGCTTTTAAAAAATTCATTGGGGACAAAAAAAAAATGTTACCCCCTCTCGAATAAGTTATTGGGGCAACACTGAAAACCATACCACCGTCCTTGCAAAACATAAACTTAAGGTTATCTATGTCGTGGGATACATCTTATAGCCTCTCTGCGGTGACGAGCAAACAATTTTCTTTCATGAAATTTTTTACGCAGAGTCGTGACAAAAAAATGGTATGTGTGGCTCGTGTGGGAAAACAATTTCAGTCTCTAGTGAAGTGCGGCCCTCGACTGAAATTCCAGCACTTGCCGCACAATAAACTATTGTACATGCCTACAAGTATAATACCCGAAGTAAGTAGGTAGGTACCTTCAATGACGTTATATACCTATTATTATTATTATTTATTTTTTTTTATCCCCGCGGCAGCAACCTTGGCCGTTGGGTGGTTTTTGCCGCGGGGGGAGGGTACTGTAAGTTTTAAACAAGTGAATGTTTTTTTGGTTTTGGGCACCAGTAGGTATCTGCCATGCCCGGGCTCGTATTTACGGATGCTACTCGAGACTGGCCAATAGATCCCAAATTCAGTTAGGGTTCGTAAAACAAATTTATTTTACGGATACTACTCGAGTCTGGCCACTATGCCACTGCGGTCTACCAAAATTGACGTGGTCTACCGTAATAATATTAAAGTAATAAAGTACAATAATATTAAAAGTATAATAAAGTATAATTTAAAGTATAAAAAAAATGTAATTTATTTTTTATTACCCTGTGACCCACTTGGGGAGGTGTTGCACAGCAAGTCGGGGGATATTTTCGATTTGCGGAGCGGAGCGACGGCGCCGAGGAGCGTAGCGACGAGTGCCGCTAGCACCGCATCACTGTACGATGTTTTTTCAAATTGATGGCTCGGTGCAACAAAAAGTGCAATTGATTGAAAAAACATTGTACAGTGATGCAGTGCTAGCGGCACTCGTCGCTACGCTCCTCGGCGCCGTCGCTCCGCTCCGCAAATCGAAAACATCCCCCGACTTGCTGTGCAACACCTCCCCAAGTGGGTCACAGGGTTGAGAAAATTGCATTTTTGTTCCCAGCTATATAGGTAGAACACATAACATTGATAGACCGCATACTATGCTCATGTTTATAGTTACGTAGCACACAAAACGGAGGTAGACCGCATATTGGGAGATAGCCCAGCTTTCATATTGAACTTTATGAGTCTTTATTTGAGTATAGCGGTATATTACATAGTGGCCAGACTCGAGTAGTATCCGTAAAATAAATTTGTTTTACGAACCCTAACTGAATTTGGGATCTATTGGCCAGTCTCGAGTAGCATCCTTAAATACGCTGCCCGGGCGGGGAACGGCGGCACTTTTCTCAGGACTTGCCCGAAGAAAAATGCCGCCCGCGGCCGGCATCGAACCGGCGCCGGTGTGCGTCGCAACCAAGGGCGTCCGCGGGAATTTGTCAAGGGGATGGCCAAATATTTTCCTTTTTACATTTTTTGTCTCACTATCCTATTGGTTATTAAGTATTTTTGTGACATGTTTGCTTTATTCATATGGGTAGACAAGGAATGTAAAAATATTTACCTATGAATTATACGTATATAGATGGTAAGTTAAAACGTAATCTTACAGCATTAATTTTAATTGATTGTTGTGTAGTTTTAAATTATCAAATACATTTTTTTTTAAATAAATAAAATGGTACCATTGATTTTATAATTACCTATAGGTAATTTATAAAATTAAATATTTCTAGCTCATTCCACTGATACCACAAACTTGAAAAGTTTAAACTATTGTAGTTATGACATCTATGAGCATTCAATTTTTTTATCAAAGAACTTTGCAGAATTGCACTTGGTCCAACCACTACATCTTATAATCTATAAAAGCAACGTTCTTAGTTCCGACGTTCATCATAATCGAGTGTAATAAAAATCACTCTGTAAAGAATAAAACAATGTTTTTATTTTTAATTTAAAAAAGTCGCTCTGCTGTACAGTAGGTTACAAGTGGGTCACTGTAATGTGTAATGGATGGTGTTAAATTTGAATTTAAAAATGATATAATATAATTGTATTGGTATAAGAAAAACGATTCTGAGCGAAAACGGTCAGTCAGCCTATGATATTACGAAGTACCTATATTTGATGAGTGATGATATTGAGGTGAATAAAGTAATTTATATATAACCTATTGGCTATTTACGTGGAATCTTGTTTCAAATTTTCAATGCTTACCTATAAAAGTTGAACATTTTTAACTGCAAAATTATTATTAAATTTTAAATGTGATAAATTTTGAACTTTAAATGCATATTATAAAAAAAATTGTACCCGTGTATTTTTAATATTTTTCAACTGCTATTGTAACAATATACCAGGAGCTTTGCATTAAATTTTCACGCTTTTTTACCCAACAAATAAAAACTAAAAAAATTTAAAATTTAAAATGTCCGTAACAGCTCAAAAAGAGCCAAAATATTTTCAACATTTTATCGTGTATAGAAAATGCTAATATAAACATTCAGTGAAATTTTCAAGTATCTACAAGTCATTCGTATTTTATTACGACAAAATAAGAAAATTGCTACATGAGAAACCGAGTGAATATCAAATGTTGTAAAAATATGAATTTCAATCGCTTATAAAATTTTAGTTTGAGTTTCTTGTAGGCATTTTTTTTTGATAAAGGTAGACAAACTCATGAGAAATCTTGTATTACATTTTCAAATCTGAGATTTAAAAAGAAAATTTTCTATGAATTTCTAACTCGAAATAATTTTCAAATTTTCGTCATTTTTACGTATTTTGACAATATTTGAACTTTAAATGATTATAAAAAAAAATTGTGACTATGGATTTTTAATTTTTTCATCTGCCTTTGAAACAATATACTAGGAGCCTTCTATTAAATTTTCAAGCTTTTGCAACCAACAAATAAAATTTTATTGATATTTTTAGAAAAAAAACTCTATGGTTATTATACATATTATTCAAAATAAAAGTTCAAACAGCTGTTGATACAGTATCTAGATCATAGGATTTTATCACTTTTTCTGTGATAAACTTAAATTTCTACACTAACCTCGGTATCATGTTTAATACCAATATATTTTTATTGTACGATTTGTGCAACCCAAACGCTTCTGTAAAAATATTTGACAGCTCGTTAAAACTGTTCATTAAATAAATTTAAAGTTCGGTTTCATGCAACCCGGCATTAGAATTGTAATGAAGGAATAGTAACATATTAACTTTATCATTTTAACCAAAGTTAATCATTTTATGTAGAATTTGAACAAAATGAATTTGCTTTAGTATTGGATTCAAATATGGATTTTGAACAAACACCACATACTGAATGTTTTGACAATAATATTATTACTGAAACAAAAAGTGTTGCTCATAATAATAACACAATTTTGATTATGGAACCAATAACTGGTATATCAATCTGGAAGTGCTCTTAAGTTATTTTAAAATTGTATTATCAAATACTTTTCATTAATTTAGAACTATTTAACGATTATAATAATATATTTAAATGTATGTAAAAATAGGTACATAAATATATTATTATTAAATCATTAATATTAAGTAAATGCATTGTGCATGTAAAGAAAGTTCAAAAATTAATATTATAATAAAATAAAATGAGATTTTAATAACTGCACATAAAATTTAAAATTTATAAATTAACTTGTGTGTTTATTATTATTTAATACAAAACCTTTAATTAGATCATTTTAATCACATTTTAATTAATTTTAAATGTTTACTACTCTACTATCATGTACTGTGTACAGATTTAAATAATACTATTATAAGAATTTATAGTCATAATGTTGAAGTGGTAGGTATATGAAAATATAACAGACATTAATGATTATTACTTATCATATATTTTTCTAAGCATATCCTCCATGTATTTTACTTACAAATGTGTATTTTTTCTTATATATTTGTTAGGTGGATCTGATGAACCCACAGTTGATGGTGAAAAACCAGCAAGAAACAATTAATGTATTAGAAGAGTCAAGGAATTCTGAATTTGAAATTATCGATGATCGAAAAAGAAGCCGATGCAACAAGAGTCGTCCTGATCTTTGGAAGAAAAATAAGACCAAAGAATTGTGAAGTATGTGCCACTAAAACCCTACTAGAATTAACAAAGAAGATAAAATACTTAAAGCTAAAAAACCTAAATCAGTGAATTGTGAAAATTGTAAATATAAATGTGTAAAAAAATTTACCGATGATGAAAGACAACAATTATGTAAAATGTATTGGAATCTTAGTTTCAATCGACAAAAAAATTTTATTCTCAGTTGTGTGAATGCAAATAAAGCCAAGCAGCGTACTAACCGTATTCCTAAAACAGCCAGACCAAGGACATTAAGAAACGTTTACTACTTTGAAAAAAATATGGAAAAGCATTTGTCAGAAATTTTTTATGGCAACATTATGTATAAGTAATGGTCCTCTTATAACAGCAATAAAAGCGCATTTTTCCGTCGAAGAGATTCTCAATGCTTCTTCCTCGTATTCGTCAAAATTGCTTGTGTCTCCTGGTCCTTTGCACCTAGGAATGAACGGAGCTTCAATTTTCTTCTGGAACACGGCAATCCAATCTGTTGATGCAAACCACTTATGTGTCCTTTGATATCGTTGACACCGTTCTTCAGGTTGCCAAATCGTTTAGTAAGATCCACTTGTAGCAAGTTCCTCAGTAGGTCTTTTAGGTCAGAACCAAAATGTGATGGGAAGCGTACTTTGCCCGAGACGATTTTCTCGTATATCTTTATAGGTTGGTCAGCAAAGAACGGTGGATAACCAGCAGCCATCTCGTATACTAGAACTCCAAGAGCCCACCAGTCGACAGCTTTATTATATCCCTTGCTTAATATAATTTCAGGCGCCAAATACTCGGGCGTACCACACAGGATCCATGTTCACCCTTTGACACGTTTCGCAAAACCAAAGTCAGTCACTTTCAAATAGCCCTGCGAATCGATCAGCAAGTTTTCTGGCTTGAGATCTCTGTAGATTAAGTCAAGATAGTGCAGTAGGTACTCGAATGCTAGCACTATTTGAGCCGCGTAAAAACGCGAATGTGGCTCGCTGAATCGGCCAACCTTCCGCATTTGAGAGAACATTTCACCTCCCGGCACGTATTCAAGCACCATATATAAATTGGAATTGTGCTTGAAGTGGTATTTCAAACTGACGAGGAACGGGAAACTGATTGCTTGTAAAATTCTCTTTTCGTTCAACGTGTGTTCTACCTGTTTCAACTTGACCACTTTCTGTTTGTCGAGTATTTTCATGGCATAATACTCCTTGGAAGCCTTATGTTGTACGATCATGACACGGCCAAACGAGCCCGTAACCAACGTCTTGATACCGTCAAAGTCTTCGAGGGCCGCCGTGTTCGTCGGGTTCTATTTCCACTTCTCCTCGAAATCCTCTTTGGCCTGGTCGAGGAACTCTTTGACGCTCTCGGCCGAGTCGATTTTCTTGTTAGCCGTCGCGGCGTTGCCCATCGCGTTCGCTTTTTTACCTTCCAGGGCTCCCAACGAACGAGTGGTCATTATAACTAACGTCGTTCAGCTGATTTCAGTGCGCTGCGCCGAACGTCCACTGCACGGTCAACGCTATATTTTAATTCGAAACCGTCTCTATACTGTCGGGTTAAATTTAAAGTCAAACAAATAAATAATGCGTGTGCGACTATATAAGACTTGCAGCCTATAATAAAAGTTGGCGTCTCCCGTGTATATATTAATAGTATCATATTTACATTGCATATAAGATAATAATTTATCATAAATCATAATATTATTATGTTTCACTGTGGCTGAAAACCATAGAACAATCGCAATGGGTAAAATAATATGTTAATATGATCAAATCGGCCAACTCTGTAATAGTTCTGTAATGGTGTAATCTGTATAATATAAAATATTGTTATCGGTTTTATCGATGGGCGATTGTGAAGTAATTCCCAAATTAGAACACAACAACACGGTCAACACGGAATATCGTCGGGTCATTGCGCGTGCAGCGGCCAGCGAAGACTTTGAGAAAAACACCATTGTCTGGACTCTACTCGGCTGTCATGACTATTCTAACGGACGTCCACCTGCCTGGTCGACTTTTTGGCTCTTTGACCACCGGAAGACACCTACCTAGTACCTACACAGAACCACGCGACTTCGTCAACACGTGAACTCCAATACGTCTCCACCTGTAATTGTCAACAATCATTTTGACCGTTTGCAGCCGTCAATCAACCGCTGTATGTTTCCTACACTTCGTCATTTTAACAGCCCAGGACATCCCACCATGATGGGCTAAGTATGGATCCACGAGGGCCCGAGTGGCGGGCGAAGAGTATTCCAGTCCACTGCACTACCACGTCGTCGATGTCATCAGTCGTAAAATGTTTCTTTATTCTTCCCCCCTGTCCCCCCTTTACTTTGTAATTTTCCGGCTTGTACGAGCCACGTGCATTTTTCCCGGTAACCCTGTGAGGACGCACCATGAGTAATATGGTGTGTCGCCTCCCGTGGGCCGAGAAAAATGCACTGACAAATTATTATAATTGCCATGTGCCAGAACTATGATTGTATTTTAATGCCAACTAACTATTATATATATCTTGATAGCAAAATTTCTACTCTTATTATTTAATATTATATTTTTTCCCCTAAATAAATCCTCGGCATTCAGCTTGCCGTTGCGTGTAACAAAGCCTATGAGCTCCACCGACTTGGCCCTCGGGTCATCACGCGGTGCGGCTCATAGGTCACGGCAAAAGTGTTCCCCTTTTGTCGTGGGTGGTTTTTGGTAGTCTCACAAACTACCAGATTCTCACAAAGTCCTCGCATCAGTAGGAAGTGTAGGGTCATAACAAGATTTTAAAATTTTTAATAGGTCAGTAGCTGTATTTGGTATACATGTTTAACAACCCACTCGGCAAGTTGGATATTTGCAGGTACTGGTAATATGACGTGTTCATCAATTGTAAATCGTGGCGACGTTTCATCATTAATTATTGCAGGTTCATCGTTGTCTTCTGAACTAGTATTGTCATCATCACTATTTGACAAAACTACTGCAGTAGATTCTTCGACTATTATTTTAATAGATAAAATATTTTAGGTACTATAATATTATGAATATCATTATAAATTATAATTTTATTTACACAATTTCAAATGCGAACATTACAAGTACCTATATGTTGTAAGAGACATATATTATAAGATATCCATCTATATACCTATGTACTTATTGTAAATAACTTTTAACTATTTAAAATCATTGATACAATTCGGAGCTTGAAACCGATTGAATAAAAAAAATGTGATATACCTAAAATCAAAATTCAATTGTATATTAGATGTTATAATTAAAACCAATTGCGCTTTAAGTAGTAGGAAATTACTAATAGGTACTAACTTTTAACTTAAAATGTACCTACGTTTGTTACATACATTACATTTCCAAATACCCATTGCGTATTTCTATTTAAAAAAAAATTGAGTAGAATTATGTTGGTTGTGTACCTAAATAAAAATAAAATATTATATATTATCAGCTTTGATGAGTTCTTTTGCAAGATATAAAGGAAGGCAGCTTGTTGGTAGATAACAGTTTGACCCATCGATTCCGACAGTACTGCAGGTATAATTTTAAAACAACCTATATCGATTCCATGAAGCACCTTCTACACATTTTTACCTATGAACTGCAGTGATCTTCCTGATTCATCGAACCTCAGCCCCGGTTGTGGCGTATCAAGCCCTGCACTGAGCGAGTGGCGAAGGCACTATAACCGGTGTAGACCTAGTCCGAGGGTATATATTGTGGATATCGGAACGACCTCCGTTAAACAGAGGTCAGGCGGGAAATGCCATACTAACTCGTAAGATACGTCTGCTGAGTGCACAATTACTAAACTCCTTCCAACGATTTGACTGTTGAGATCGTAGCCTCAGCTTTTGGGGTAGGAGAAAGTGTCGAAACTGATAGTCTTTATGGGGTGCATATAAGTCTTCCTGATCAGAGTGGGGTCGTGGTGAAATGCATTTACGATAGTTCATCCACCATTCACGGACCACGGGGCGAGCGAAGGTCGTAGTGTAAGCCTTAATGATTCATGTCTCTGCGATCTTGTGGTGAGTGAAAGTGCTTTGCCTCTGGTCGGCTATTGTCGTCCGTCGGTGGTGGGTACAACTTTCTCTCGCAACATGTCCTATACAAATGACGGTAGTGATTGGTAGGCCAGGATGAATCAGTTTCAAGCACATCCACGGCCACGGGATCGCGGAGGCCTCTACTTAGTGCTCTGCGCGTTGGAGATGGATTTGGATGGGAATATGTGAAGTATATTAGCTTGAGTTGATGGTGGAACTGCTGCAGTAACCGGCATCTTTCGAATATTATCACAGTACGTGCACTACGTAGGATACAGACACCATAGTTCAGTCGCTTTTTAATCAAATACTGCATTATAGTGGAAAACATAGGGAAACTACGGTGATTGGGGGAGGAGTGGTGAATACCCTCCCCCACCATGGATCAGCCGCTGACACAGCCGAAGGGGCTCGTGATCTATCGGCTACATGCTGCATCACATATCCATCCATTGGGGATTGCATCAGGCGTGAATCTATGCAGAATTTTGGAATATGGACTGTAGTAAATATGATTTAATTCATTAATTTCATATTATTTTCATTTAAAAAGTAATAAAATGCTTCTATTTAAAATTATCGCTTACATTGATAAATCTATGGATTTCAGTTTCCATAGATAATTATTTTCTATTAGTATTATAGTATTGTCGGTGGTTGTCCTCAGTCACAAAACGTGTTCTGAGGTCAAGCATCAGCCAGTTTCACTATAGTTCCACCCGGGTTTTAATGAGGAATCATCGCCACATATACACGTGTTCTAACCAACCGTACCCTCTCCCCCACAGTTTAAAACGTACCAAATAACCTTCAGGCTAATAGTAACGAGTAACGACCATAGATGTTGAAGCCTTAACTCGATAAAAAAAAAAGAATAGTAATCTTGTCGTTGTGTATAAAGTTAAAGGTACTTCTTATTTTTTTTGGGTAGGTATAATAGAAACTTTCAAACTAGCTTGGTATAATGTTCTTTGAAAGCGTATTATAAATAAAACTGTTGTTAAGTTTTTAACGAAATTGTAAAAAATAACAACTGCTATAATAAACTGTTACTTGTTTCGTAAACACCTACCAATTAATTATTATGTTTAATTCAGTGGCGTACGCAGAATTCGTTAATGAGGGGGGTTACCATATTTTATATACAATTAAAAAAAAAAAAAAAATGTTTATACAATTGTATTCTTCTTATATTTAAAGACATGCACAATACAATTTTTTAAAAATGTATATTTTATAGACTAAAAACACTAACCTATTAAGTTATAACTTAATATTAATTCGTCTCGATGATTTTAATAATTCATCTAGTACTGCGTCTGTTGAGATTTCAATATCCCGATGAATATTTAGCATTGCTAATCCATTTAAGCGAGATTCTCCGGTTGTATTTCGTAGATAGGTTTTGAGACGACGAAGAGTCGAAAAAGTCCTTTCCGGTGTGGCTGTCGTTACTGGTAGAGTAACAAGAATAACTAAAAGTTTTCGTATAATTGGAAATATTTTTTCATCACATACAAGTAAAGCTGAATGGGCATTTTTAAGATTGTCATTCATTTGGCTTACATAATTCCACCATAATCTAAGTTCTCCGATACTTAGTTGTTCACTACAGTTAACGATTTTTTCATAACGACGTACTAAATGTACAATGTCAGTCTCAAATTGTTTTTTGAACTCTAAATTATTTATTTTTAATGGCAATAGACAGTGAAAACTTGACAAAATTTGTTTACGATCTAACAAACGTCTTTGAATTTGGGTAATAAAAAAATCTAAAAATGGAATGAATATTGAAACACGAAAATATACTTAAGGTGAATCTGTTTCAATATTATTTTTTAATATTTTTATAATATTGATTATTATGTCAAATCGCATGATTCAAAGTAGATAGCAACGATATTACGATTACAAAATATTATCTATTATACACATTACACGCACACGTATATCTGTGTATGAACTTAGTACTTTGCTCATAAACAACCATGACCCATGTAATAAAATGTAACATGGAATGACAGTAATTATTTTTCGACATAAATATTAACGCGTTATCGGGGCCAGACTAGACCGATATACGGAACCTTTTAAAACCACCGGGAAGTGACCGACCGACAAAACGCATAATATGATCCTAGTCTAAATATAATATTCCATAAAAAAATCATTATTCGTATTTTACTTGGGGGGTTAAACCCCTAACCCCCCCCCCGTCGGTACGCCACTGGTTTAATTTTATAATATAATATATATAATAAAATGTGTGCTTGTGTGAAATATGTATAAACATTTAGCAATGTAGATAAAAAAAAGGTGGGCAAGTGGGTGTCGCTCTGCTGTACAGTAGGTTACAAGTGGGTCACTGTATAATGGATGGTATTAAATTTGAATTCAATGATATAATATCATTGTATAAGAAAAACGATTCTGAGCGGAGACGGTATGTCCTTCTAGGTATAAGACATATTATATACATATTTATGGTATTAAACAAAAAATTGACCTATAATAGGTACCCATAATAAATTCCAAATTAATCATATCACAATATCCATTAGATACTTATAACGCGTTATACATCAACAAAAACCGTGATACTATCATAGATATATAATAGTACACTTTAGAAGTTTCAAGTACCCACGAATAATATTATTCAATCACAACAAAATAACTAAAATAGTTATTCTAGGTTTTTTAATATGTAATTTCGTCCAAATTTGAATTTAAAATGTCTGTAAAAAATAAGTGTGTTCATATATTTTTTAGATTTTTTGGTTATAGTATGAACTATTTATGAGAACCTTTGTGTTGAATTTGTAATCCTTAGCTATAAAAACTGAACATTTTATAATTTATTAATTACAATGATTGATAATTTTCGAGATTTTGATAAATTTTGTCAAAATTTGATCTTTAAATGCTTATAAAAAAAAACTGTGCCTATGTATTTTTAATATTTTTCAACTGCTATTGTAACAATATATCAGGAGCCTTGTATTAAATTTTTACACTTTTTGGCCCAACAGATAAAACTTTATTGATATTTATAGAAAAAAAAACTAAAAAAAATTGAAAGCTGTAAATGTCCATAAACAGTTAAAAAAGAGTCAAAATATTTTCAAAATTGTATGGTGTATAGAAAATGCTAATTTAAACATTCAGTGAAATTTTCATGTATCTACAGTTGTTCGTTTTTGAATTGCAACAAAATAAGGAAATCGCTACATGAGTAATCGAGTGAAAATCCAATGTTGTAAAAATTTGAATTTCAAACGCTCATAAAAATTTAATTTGACTGTCCGGTAGAGATTTTTTATTGATAAAGGTAGATAATCTTATAAGGCATCTTGTGTTTCATTTTCAAATCTTAGATTTAAAAAGAAAAATTTTTACGAATTCTTAACTCAAAATAATTTGCTAATTTTCGTGATTTTTCCATATTTTGTCAATTTTTGAACTTTAAATACTTATAAAAAAAAATTGTGACTAAGGATTTTTAATATTTTTCATCTGCCTTTGAAACAACATATTAGGAGCCTTCTATTAAATTTTCAAGCTTTCCCAACCAACAAATAAAATTTTATTGATATTTTTAGAAAAAAAACTAAAAAAAAATGGAAAATGAAAATGTCCCTAAACAGTTCAAAATAAATCAAAATATTTTGAAAATGTTATCGTGTATAGAAAATGCATATATAAACAACCAGTGAAAATTTCATGTATCTACGGTCATTTGTTTTAAAGTTACACCAAAAACCAAATTCGATTTTTTGGAAAATCGATTTTGCGTAAAAATTCCCGTTTTTCCTTAATTTTTATGTTGTTTTTCCCGGCGCTTGTGAAAACTACTGGAAAATGTTTACTTTTGACCCCCAAAGTATCAACTAGATTCACTTTCCTATCAGAAAAGGTACTATTGAAGAAAATCGAAGCACTTTTACTGTCCTAAAACGTGATGACAGACACAAAAATATAAATAAAAATATAAAAACATACATCATTGTAAAACCAATACATTCATCGCTCCGCTCAGAATCTAAAAATTGATGTTGTAACCATAAACTAATGTAATATATTGAAAATTAGAATATAGGTAGTCGGGAGTAGCACGCTAATTGTGCGACGCTACGCATTAGCACTCTACTTTATTTGAATCGATTAATGTTTTATTAATTGTATAGCTACAATACACCTAATGTAGCGAAATACTTTAGTGCGATGGATATTGTTGGTTTAAGGGGATTCCATACCGACCGTTTTTAAGGAGTTGAGTATAGGACATTCTTACTTCTTAGACAATCTGTATAGTACGTGCGTGAGTGGCATGCGTGTGTGCGTGTAGTAAATGATCATTAGTGTGAGTGACTGACGGCGAGCTAGATAAGCGTTGCGCACTCGCACTCGCATGCACTTGTCACATTATGCCTAACAACAAATTTATTTCATGGCGAAATGTTGTAAATCATAGACCTAAACGAATTCCAACATTCCGACTCAAACCTACACCGATAATAATTTTGAAAACAAATTTTGTTTTGTATTGTTCTACCAACTTTGGATCCTTTGAGCCACATTTTTAAATAATTATTCTCAAAAAGAAAAAACCTCACTTGAAATTTAGAAAAAAAAACTTGTTTTCTTAAAAATTTTAATGGACATAAATAGTTTTCAAAATTATTATAGGAATAAAACTCAAGTTAGTACGTTGGAACGAGTATAAAGGTCTATTTTACTCTAAAAAGCGGCAGTGTGGAATCCCCTTAAGCGTAACGAAAATTACCATTATTTTGTCTCTACCTTCAACCTATTTGGTGATAGTTAAAATAGTATGATAACTATTATATTTATTTATAATATTATATGAGTATATTAATTAATTTTTCGGGTTTAATCCACGATTAGCTAGAGTAGTTAAATCCCGTCCAGTGACCAAATATTAAATCGGTACAAACAATAAACTACTAATTTTCAATTAGAACATTTAAAAACAATTTAGCGTAAAAGTAGAGATGCTACAAAAAACAGTGTGGTAGGCACAGAAAATGTTTTAATTGAAACATTTTTTTGTTGAATTGGTTAAAACTTAGTGATGGTATGCGTAGTATCTATTGCTTTAGGCTTCAATATTTCTAAATTGGACTCTGCTCACGTTTCAATTTCACATGAAAGACCACCAAGCCCCATGCAGAGGCTTGTGCTGGGGGGGGGGGGGTGGATCGTCGAATATTTATTTGTCCACTACGCCAGCACATTACGTGTCTAATTAATAATAACTAATATACTAAAATAGTCAAATGCATCGCCAAAACTGTGTTGGTCCCGAATTTAAAATACGCGCTTTCGAATAATTTGTCGTCAAAAAAAGGAAACGCTAACAATATGTTTTACACGTCATAATATAATACTACATAACACAGCTGATAATGCGTCAAAAAACCGTATGTCATCGTCACGGCCATATAATATAGGCGGTGCATATTATACGATATACCGGTGTCGTCAATTTAATAATATAACGTATAAATGTATATGACAATATGATAATACAGTTATATAATAATAAAAACAATTATACGATTATTCGTCATAACACTTTTTTTTCTGTTTGGACAATTTTCTAAGTAGAACATTTTTTTAAGCGAATTTACTCTATGTATACCTAATTTTAATAATAATGACTCAATATATAGACAGCAGAAAGTACACATAGACATAGTGTCTCGTGTCCGACACACGCAAAGCAAATAACTACAACTAATAAACGGTATAATAATGTACGATACTATTAGAAAAACATAGCGCTGTGGACACGGGGGGAGGTAGGGGGTTCACCCCCCCCTCCCATATGTAAATCCTGTCTACAGTACCGGTGTTGTTGATCAGTCATACTTTTAATTTTTATCTACATTTTAATACGTACTTATATTATACAAACTATAGCAAAGTTGCATTCGGTAGAACCAATTATTGTGAGTTTGATATTAAAGCTAACTGAACAATACTATTTATCATTATCAACTATTATTAGAGCCTTTAGAGGTTTAAAAGAACATTATTTGTTTTTGTTTAAATTATCTTTTCAATTTTAAGCGAGTTATGAGCATATGTAAAATAGTTTAATTTAAAAATGCTCTTAAATAATAACTAGCTTTAACATTGAAATGTCGTAAAATGGTACAAACACAGATAATGTTCTTATAGGTACCTCTAAGAGTTGGACGATAAGTGAATTCACTCTAATCATAACGCAATAAAAACACAACATTGGCTCGGTTGTAAACGCGAATTTGCACTGTTGTATTTTATTATCATTATACATGTTTGCATGTTTGTTAGTCAGTGAACACTTGTGGGTATATGACTTGTCCTCTTAAACATTTTCATTTCGGAATCAACGAAAATCGACTGGAAAAATTATACGAACATGTAGGCGGGAAGTTGGCGCGTATTTACATACAAATATGATACATTTAGTGTATTATAATGCCAAATTGTGTATTATATATTATATTATTTACGGATCTACCCATTTATGCTGTATAAGTATATTATATTATTCTATATATAACATAATATCGTCGTAGGTACAAACGTGCCGGCATTGAATGTTCATTCATATATGGTCAAGACCGTGGGGAACGAATGACCGTGCGGCGACGGCGGCGGCGAGAGGAACCGGACCAAGGAAGCGGTGGCGGCGGCGGCCTTACGCGGCGGCGGCGGCGGCATCGCACGATGGACCTCCGTCGCCGAGCCGAGCAGTGTGCTCCGCCGCAGTTGTGGTAGGTGTCGTCCGGGTTTTACTCCGCTCTAGTTTGGCGCGCGACTTTTCAATATTTTGTTATTATATTACATCGCTCGTGACGAAATCATTAACGTCGAACTATATATATATCCTCGAAGGATATAACTCCTAACTTTTTTTTGTCTTTATAAAAATTTAAAAAACCTACACCATAATATTATAATAAATATTATTACGAATCAGTTCTGTTGAGCTTCAGGTATATACTCAACTACAGCCTGCTTCTGGTAGTCGGCCGAGGTACGAAGACATAACATTATTATTCGTATGACATTATTGTGTTTAACGTACAACATTATAACGTAATGTATTACAGTGCGTCGGCGATGGCGACGCTACTGAAGAACGTCACCAATTGCATATGGCAAGCGTTCAACTCGCTGGACACGGACGACACGGGAACAGTGGTCAAGTCCAAGCTCAAAGTGAGTGTCTCTCTGGATACCACTTAATAATAATAAATATCTGTATAGTATATACCTACCCCGCGGGGTACACAAATTATTGGATGACGACTGTGGAAAGAGTATATATTTTATATAGTTTATTTATAGTTTAGTATACCTAAACTGCTAAATCTACAAACGATTTCAGTTTTTAAAATCTCGGCAAATATAAATTATTATACTCATTACTAGCATAGTCTTCCCTTACGCCGAGTATAACATTATAATATTAAAGTATTAAACTATATAACAATATTGTAATTTGTGGCATGTTATTCCTGATATAATATTATATTTACATGAACTAGAACCGAATGAATTAAATCTAACGAACACTTTTAAATTATAATCACGGATTTCTCGAGATAGCTTTTATAATAATTATTATTGTACACATATTATATCCCCATATAGTAATTCGATATAACTATACACATTATTATATATTTATATGTAGCGTATAAATGTATAATTGAAAAATTGTGTACACATCCTTAGATTAGCTGTATTTGGTATCAAAATCATTTTAATCGTTTTGATCCCGTAATGTCGTCCGCGCCAGGTGACGTCACTTTTCAAATGGTTTTTTGATCGCCGCTGATGACATTGCCTAATGCCGTCTGTAGATTTATAATATAATATAATATTTAAATATTATATAGGTACACATACACATATATATATATATATATAATATGAACTTATCATTGGTGACGTCACGTTCGCAGAATAATAATTTTTATTTCAAATAAATGATACATTTCCTCAATGACCATAATATTAATTACATCGAATCTCGTTATACACTATCATATTTTTCGTACATAATCTATTCATAATCTCCATTGGTTTTAAACTTTGGTCAAAATAAGATTTGAGTACCTACCATTTATTATTATTTTTTTTATTAACAACACGTAACTGTGAAAGTACCTAAAAACAATAATATACAATAACGAAAACAAATCGGCTAGGTACAGTATATTACGTATTATGTAAATATTGTATTTCAAACATGAACTTTAATTTAAACGTTAAATTTTTGAAAAAAATACGATTTCGTTAACAGTTTGTTATTATTGTGATGATTAATATAATTTCTGCGAATGATTACGAGTGTACTGTGTAGGTATGGTATTATACATTCTACGGACGATGACGTCATTCCTTAGTTTTACTTATTCTAACATAATTACACCAAGTTAGATTTAGATAACTCACCAAAGTAGGTATGCAGCAGTATGCACCTATTTATTTTCATGACTTTTTAGTTCTTGTAGACTTAAATATTGTACGATATTTATTTTTATTTAAAACGAAAGTAGGTAGTTTTATAGGCATATGGCATAATAATACTGAAGAATTATTTAGATGATAGTTTGTGTTTTGAATTCAAGTTTGGTACACAGGTATGAGGTATACTACCAGCTATACCGTAAAATCGTAAAAACATATAATTCAAAAATTGTTCACATATAAAATATTGGTAAAGTTGTCTACAAGCATATTTTCCATATTATTTTTTTTTTTGTATAAGTACCTACCTACTTACTTAATAGTTAAGTTAAATGCTTATATAAATATATTTGTATTTTGTATAAGAGTACCAGTGGCGTATTTTGAAATTTTTTGTGGGGGGGGGTCTAAATATTAGGTACCTACAAGTTTATAATATAAAAAAAACACATACGAGTTACGATGTAATAATTATATTATATTATATTTTTTTCTGGGGGGGGGTCCAGACCCGGGGACCCCCCCCGTAAATACGCCACTGAAGAGTACTAATCATTATATATAATAAAAATATATGGTTATACTATTACCACAGATTATATGAAATATATATATATTTTTTATATAGTCTGTGCCATTACTTTCTGATTAAATTTTCATTTTCTATCTCGAATACTTTTGATTAATTTCTTAAAAGTTTCCTATGCCTATATTTTAGTAAATTTATGTCCCAATTTTCTGAAGGAAATGCCGCTCTATTGGAATAAAATATTTTGTATTATATGATTTAAAATTGTCCATTTTACATAAATACAATAATCGGGTAATTGATGTCATAACTTAGAAACTAATTTAGGTTGTAACAGAAAAGTTAAATTTAGAAGATAGACAAGAGAGTTTTTAAAATGTACAAGTAAATAATGATTTAATCTGCAGTAATTGTATTATGTAAACATTTCTTTAAAACTATAAAATCAAGTCAACAAATCAAAGTTAATACTGATAAAAATGTCAATAATTGGGAATTTTTTAATAATGTTAATGTATTATTGTTTAATCAAAACAGTCAATATGTAAATATGTATGCCGTAATTTGAAATCATGTACATTTATCATTTATGTATAAAATACTTAATAAATCACTTGGATGTATTATGTAGGTATATAATTAGGTATGATTATTATTAGACATATCACTTTATATCTCTTTAGGTACCTACTATTAGAACTAACTACTGAGTGTCTGTATAGTCTCTTACTCTCTTATATGGTACATCCGTATGACATAATAGTCATAATATACTGTATTCGTATACAACTAAAAACTCATAGTACAATAGACAATAGAGATATACAAGAAAGAATAAAAATTAACTTGATTTTAATTGAAAAATATAGCATATAAATTCTAAATATAGTATTGTAATGGACAAATTTTCCTTATTGCTTATGCAGTCATACAGATATATCAATAAGTAATGTATTTTTCTCATTAAGTAAATTAATCGTTAAACTATATATTTTAATATTTTATTGAATAAACAAATATTCTAACTCATAATTATTTTATTTTTTTAAATAGGTTTTAACGGCAAACATCGGTATTCTCCTTGACCTTTATAGTGTAGAAAAAGGCCTTGAACACTACAGAAGTACAACAACGTTAAACTTTCAACATTACAAATATTATTTATTGAGAGAAGTATATTATACAGATATATAATATACATAAATGTTTAGTTGACTAAACTATACTTATTTTACTAGAAATCTTTGTGTTTTAGGTTTTTCTATCGCTTCCAAACATACTATCTTTACCAGTACTTCAAGGATTTGAGTCAAATATAGATGAGACGTGTTGGATAATTTGTAAAAAAGATTTTATTTCTAAATGCAAAGTATTACCAGAGGATTGTATGTATAAATTATTCAGGGTATTTTGTTTTTTGTCGGAGCTTATAGTAGATCCAGAAAGACCAAATCGATTCCAAGTAATTTCTTATTGAAAATAATTCTAATCATTTCTAATACCTAATATTTCTAATTTATTTAATGAGATTATACACCTATCCAGGTTATCATGGATACATCAGAAGTGGGTTTGGTGGCTTCACAAATTGTTACTTCATTAGGCAATGACTGGGACCAATCGGGTTTTGAAGAACTCATTGGAAATGCTAATGGATTTCAGTTTGGTACGTTTTTAACATTACTAGAGAAGCGATATTTAGCTGATGTGGATCGTGCAGGCTTGGTAGAAGCATTAAATGCTGTTACAAATACGTTCATCGATGATATCATAAAAAAAGTAAGGCAACTAAAATTGAATTTTATAATTGAAAATTTAAATTATTACAAGTTTAAAAAGTAAACAGGTAACTGATTATTTTAAATTAAACAAACGCATTCATAGTTTTTAAAAAATGTATGCCAAAATTTCTAAAGCGATATTATTATTTCATAATAAAATACAATTGTGCAATTGTCTTTACTTAGTTCAAAAGCCAATAAGGCTTTATAAAACGTTGTTGATTTAAAAAATATTTTTCACAATTTTTTTCTGATAGGGAGTGTTGTTGAAACGTGGTTATTTATTGCCAACACTACGAGAGTATTGGTTTGTATTAAAACCATGCCAACTGTTATACTATAAGAATGAAGAAGAAAAAGAACAGTGTGGATCTATAACCTTAGACCCAAGATGTTGGGTGGATTCTAATTTACAACGTATAATGTTGCACACAACTGAAAGGACTTTCGAATTAGCCACTAAGGATCATAGGTAAGTTAAATCTGGTTAAAAAACAGTGTCATATCAGCTGTAAAGGTGTGTATGTGACAAAGTCTATGACTTAATGAATTAATTAAAAAAATAGTTTTTGATAAGTTTTAAAATATAATGTTGATGTTTTAATAAATATTTTATATTTCAGGAGTCGATTACAATGGCTGTCTGCTTTAAAATTAGCAATATCTTATTCAGCGGGGACAGAAGGTTATCAGAGAACATTGTTGCGTCGTAGGCAAAAACGAAGAAAAGCTGAACTTCAAGAGAAACATAGAAGAAGCAGCATAATACATGACATGGATGTTCAGTTACAAGCTGAGAAACAAGTATGAATAATTTTGAGTTTTATTATTATCAGATTTTATATTATCAGAACATTGCTTAGGCCAGGGCAGCTATGGAAATCCAAGCAAAAGAGCTTAAAGTGGCTAGCGAAAAACACGTTGAAGAATTGGAATGTCTACTTGAGGAAGAAACACAGGCAAAACGTGATGAAGAAATAGTTCGTAACTTACAAGCTAGGTAATAATAATTGTTATATCTTGGTAAATATATTATGTAACACACACATATAATATACTCATGTCCTAGCAAAATATGTATAGAAGAAAATCAACTAGTATAACTAATATATTGTTGTAGTTTGTTAATTAATTGAGATTACCACATTTAAAATTATTGAAATTAGAAAATTTTGCTTTAATCCCTAAACAATGATTTTTATCTAGATTTATTTGTGTAAGTGTGCAACTCATAATTATGAAACAAAATTGATTTGTTTATCTATTTTCCTGATCCTTATTATTAATTATCACTATTTTTAGAGTATTAAGAGAAGAATGGGAAAAAAGAGAAGAGCTAGAAAGGTTACAGGAAGAACATATATTGCTGTTGGAGCAAGAAAGAGAAAAACGAAAAGAATTTGAGATTAAACAACGAGAGAAAGAAAACCAATTGATAGGTAAGATATTGTATAGAATTATTCACTATTAAACATTGTTCAAGTAAATACAATATAATATTATAGTTAAATCCTTCAAATACTTCAAGTTGAAAAAAATTGAATTATTGTTTTAGAAGCCCAACAGAGGTTGATTGAATTGGAAGCTGAAAAACAGCGACTTGATGACGAATTGACAAGAGCACAAAAAAAAATTAGTGTTTCCGAAAAAGCTGTAGCATCAATTACAATAGTAGAGCCCGTAATACATTAATTTATAATGATATACATAAAATAACTATTATAGATGTATTTATTATCAAACAATTTAACGATTCAAAAAATATTATTAAGATTTAAGAATATTAAATATTGACTGTTTAGAGTATAATGATAGCAGTAAATAAAAGAAGTCTAAAAATTAAGATAAATTTTATGTATTTGCAGGCTGAAACATTGAACATAAAACCACAAGTTAAAGTGAGGAGGACTATGTCATTTATACCATCCACAAAAGAACGACCAATTCATTTTTACAAATGAAAAGATTAACTATTTATTTTTTGTATTCAATCATTTATTTATAATTATTATGTATTATAATTAGTTTTTATTATTATATTTGTCTTGTATATTAAAATGTAAGGAATTTCTATAATTAAATTATAAAACCAGATATACAACGAGTTACAAAATTTTATTTATATAATAAACATGAGATAAAGGAAAAGTACTTATTTGAATGTTGTATCTCTAGGACGATACGGTATACCTCTGGCCTTCATTTCCCTTACAAAATTTGGAGGTAATCGACCAGCAACAGAAATAGCATAAATGCCTTTTGTAAATCTATCTGTAAGAATAACAGTTCATGAAATATATATTTAAGTATATTATTTAGTTAATAATAGTTCAAAATGAAAATTGAAACTTACTGATTTTTTGCCATCTAGCAACCCAACTGTCTTCAGGGCTCATAAGTGCAACCATTCTATGAATAAATAATCAAATAACGTACAATTAATAATAGTTATTTTTTAAAGTAGTGTTACAGTAGTATTGTACTACATACCCATCAAAATTTGAACTAGTACAATCATATACGTGCTCACGGTTGTTTTTCAATCTCAAAAATTCATCACAATTGTCACAGCCATCAATTTCAAACTGATCAAAAGACTATAATGGAAATATATATAAAAAAAAATAAAATATTAAACTAATAGTTAAATCATTATCCTAAAGCTGAGGGCTTTACGATGATTATAATTACGACAATTTAAATCATTTTACTTATTAGTTATTTTTTACAAATATTATTATATATAATTATTAATTATTATTATAATAATTTGTATAGAATTTCTTAATTTAATCATTTGATATTTTATTTCATTCATTAATTTATCATTAGACATAATGATTTTACATATAATCTATTATAATACAAACTAACAGTTTTTGCTTAAACATTTTAATGCTTTTTGAAAGAATTTAATAAGTTTTTTTTAATTGTGTTAATAAATAATGCATACATATAATTAATTTTGATTAATGGGTTACTGTGAGAGTTTAAGTTAGTACGAAATTTAAAGTATTATAGTTTTGCTAATTGAATGAGGGTAGGAATTTTTAGGTCTTTGTGAAGATTATGGTTTGTTAAATACCATGAAGACGCTACAGTCGTAAGCAGATGAATTGAAACGCCTGAAGCATTTTGGTATTGGATGGCATTGCAGAACCCCATACCTCAATACCGTATGTTCAAACTGATTGAATTATTACTCCGTACATGGTAAGTTTATTGGATAGAGAGAGTTTGGATTTCAAGAGTGGTCTTAGGAGGTGAAGTCTAGAGTTACCGGTTCTACGCTTAACTACTTAAGTTTTAAGTGTGGGCTCCAGGTTAGGCGTTTATCTAGTTAGACCAAGATATTTATTTGACGTTGGAATGGTTTGATTATTTAACGTAACAGGTGGTGAGTTGAAATTTCTAAGTGAAAATGTTACTTGAACAGATTTAGATTAATTTATTTTAACTTTCCACCTGTTTGCCCACAAGTCATATTTAAATGATTTTGAATCATATCACCGGGGGTACCGCGGTTTTTGTGAGTCGTCAGCACATGTATTTAAATAATATGTATAAACGGTCTTCGGTATGTCGTGAGTGAAAATAGAGCGAAGGAAGATAATTATTTAAGTTATAATATTTGTGGATAGTTTGTTAAAATATTTGATGATGATAAAAACAACAATTACACAAACAGATTAAATTAGATTTTTTACAAAATGTATGTTAAGATACTTACAAACAACTTTTTGTTTTATACCTAGTTTATGAATCATAATAATTACCTTAATTAACGAACACACAAGACATGCTCTTGCGGATCTCATATCCTTGGGAATCGAGTCGAGCGACATATTATCTATTATAAAAAGACGTAAACTATTTAATATAAAATACTGTTTAGATGTGAAATTCAATTTTTATAATAATTACCGAATTTAATGAATGCAGCTGCTGATGAAAAAGTATCAACTATCAAGTAATAATTGAAAAATACAAACCTGTAAAATTGGAAAACTGTTGTACTAAGTAATAAATAAATAATAATATTATTATAATATTTTTTGATCACATAATCAAGAAAAAAAATTCTTCTTATCAAAACCGTCCGTGTTTCAAAGACGTTACAAAATAATATCATGTTGTAACTTGTAATGATACATAACAGTAATAATATTATTAAACACGGGACGCGGATTTAAATGCAAAATGCATAATTTTAATGTTAAAATATTTTGAGTATTTTTGGTATTTAAAAATTACAGTTTTAGATTTTGAGCGGAGCGATGATTGTATTGGTTTTACAATAATGTGTGTTTTTTTTTCTGTCAGCAACATTTTGGGTAAGTAGTAAAAATGCTCCGATTTTTGATGTCAGCATCTTTTCTGGTATAAAAGTGAATTTAGTTTGTATTATTTGGTGGTCAAAATTTATCATTCTAAGTAATTTTTGAAGGCTTCAGTAAAAACAAAAAAAAAAAAGTGAAAAAAGTGGTAATTTTTACGCAAAACTAATATCAAACGATTTTGACTCATTTTGAACTATTTATAGCAGTGAGAAATTTCTAAAAGATCTCCTTTTTATAGGTACCTATATAAGATTGAAAACCATTTTAATAGAAGATTTCACATACGTTTTTCTACCTATAACAAAAAAAAGTATACTTAAACAGTTAAACGGAACATTAATTTTTATGAGCGTTTGAATACTTAAAATGTTTACTATATTTGATATTCAGTGATAAATTATCGAATTCCTATTAATACATTTTTGAGATTTTGTTGTATTTCCAATAAACGATAATAACCATAAACTCTTGAAATGTTCACCAAATATTTATATTAACATTTTACATACATCATACATGGTAAAATGTTCAAACAATGTTGACTCTTTATGAGCTCAGAACTATTTATAGCCATGAGAAAATGTTTTAAATTTTGTAAATAATATTTTTTTAGTTAAAAATTTTAAATTCATAAGAGATTTACTTTTAATACCTAACATCAGAAATTTTAAACTCGTTTTACTACCTCTATCAAAAAGAAAAACTTCACCGAAAAGTCACTCTATTTTTGGTCTTATTGTTAATTTTTTTTTTTAACTATTAAATTTGATTATTTATTCAAGTATGGTAGGCTGACAAACGTTTCCTCTCAGAATCGACAGAAACGTTTTTCGTATATAATGATTTTTCATTGAATTCAAATATAACACATCCTTACAACCACATGCTTGACAACTACTTAATATTTCCTATAATCTATGGTTGTAACTATATCCTTCTATATTGACTATCGTGTATTCATGAATGCACTCATAATTGTTTTTAATTAAAACAAATTAATATTTGTGATTTGAACTCGAAATCGATTAATTATAGCTCGGAGTTCTCTCCGTTTGATCAATATTCTATATAGTGGAAAACGACTAAAAAACTATTCCATATGCGTTCAATAACCAATCTACCAATCTATATATTGGGTTTTATACTTTTATGTATGAATATTTTGGAACACTGTATAATGCACCAAAGAAAATGATTGTACATGTACTCATTGTACTCATTATTCGGTAACAAATAAAAAACCACATCATTGTAAAATACAGGTAATTACAGTTGAATGGTTTATTCTTATTCCTTCGCTTATAACATAAAACTGTCAGAAAAGCATGTTATTTTCTGTTAAAAAAATACTTTAACCGTATTCTGTTTTTCTTTATCCTATAATTCCTATATTAAACGAATAACGCATATTATAATATAATAATAAACACTTATAAATTCAAGAATTCTGAATTACGCAATAAATTAGTCACTTTGAGCATAATAATTATTATTAGTCCATTCTAAACAAAATAATGTGTATTTGCTACAAAATCAAATTTAAATAGGGTAAGATATAACTGTCGATTTTTTTCTCATATTGAAATATTATTGAATGTAATAGTTATGCATTTTTAAATATAATCTCAACAATTTCATGTGTTTAAGAAAATAATAGGCACGTCGAATTTTGTATTTTATAGTGATACAGAATATTTTATGAACGGTTCTTTAGTAAAATTTATAGCATTATAATTATGTTATAACTTTAAATTGATTGTATATAGGTAGGTAATATATTTATATTTTATATAGTGACTTAATAGAAATAGAAAAGGAAGTATATAGATTATTTAAGGGGTTGTGAAACTTGAATCTGGAACGTATTTTCTTGTGTAAGTAGGCCCGACTCTTATACACGTTCACTAGAGTGGTTGAAGAGCTAAAAAAAAAAATGAGCAAAATAAAAAAATACAAATAGCTACCATTCTTATATCTCACTTTTAAGTTTTAGTTTATAAAAATTAAAAATTATTCCTCACATTTTAAAATATTTAATACGTTTAATTTAGGTTATATCAAAGATATTATTTATTCTATTTGTAATATTAATTAATTATATTATATTATATTATACATTGAACTATAACCTATAGTAGAATTAAAAAATACTAATTAGTACGAACAAAACAAGCTGCTGTTTAAAAGTATAAAAATCAATGGTTTTTCATTAAAATATAATATTTTTTATAAATTTCAATAATTATTGTGGAAATTTAATCATTAGCGATTTTATTAAAATTCTTAATTTTTAATTTATATTTATTAACGAGTAAGTACCTATAATGATTTTATAGTTTTATTAAACACAAATGCTAATTTCATTAGTTGGATTTGTAGGTGAGACGAGAAAGTTGTGTACTACTGTACTGTGCAAAGAAACACTGAAAAATGTTTACATTGTAAAATTGAATTCATAAAGTTTGTATTATTCAGTAATTGATCAAATATTAAGATTTATATAATAATTATTTTTATGCAAACTATAAATAAATTATTGAGTTTGTAAATTATGTTGAACCTGTAGCCTGTTGGTATAAATTTTTTTTTACTCGTCACTCTTCCACTATGGTATGTTATATTATAATACATATTTTAAAATTTGAACACCAGTATGTAGTAGATGTGGCGATGCGGGCATGTATAATTTACTGTTGAAAACGGTAGGAAAATCAGACGACGAAATGGGGGGCAGACGTTCTGAAAATAATGTTAAAATAATAAAGAGCATGTTTCTCTTAGTTAGTACATAATTTAGTTGATTATTATTCAATGGTGTGTAAACGCTCGAAGGCAAACAATGGCGGTTCTATTTTAATTATTAATTTTGCAAGATGTTGCATTGCCCGTACGCCGGAAACAATGCAAAGCTAAAGGCAACGGCCTTATTATAGAGTTCTCTACTAGGTACCTAAAAACATGTATCCATAAAAATATGACACATAATAATATGTACCAAGTCAGAGTACCATTCTGGATTTACGTAATCCGTTTTCATTGCATTAAGCATGTTTTCACTTTTTCAATAAACTTCAAAATAGTAGGTAGTTATATTAAAAACACAAATATATCATACGTATTTCCTTTTAAGAAATATACATATAATAGTATTTACATAAATATTATAATAATAGATGTATAAAATACTATAAATATGTTTATATGTGTACTTGTTTGGATATTTTAATATAGAAAATAGGAGATATTATATAAAAAAATTATATTACAGAGCTATGTTTAAATGGGATAGTATAAAAAAATAAAAATAAAAACTGTTTAAATAGAATGTCAAGTTTTATATAGGTAATATTATAATACCCTTAAAATAAGGGAGCACTGTATATTTATAAACCTTTCAACAGATTATAGGTGAACAGCTGAACAGTGAACATTAACGATATAAATTATAATATCCGAAGTAAAGCTATGATTTTTTTTTTTTGATCGGGAACGATTTTTTAAAAAGTGATTTTTAATCAAAATAAATATAATGTGGCTGTTTTAATTTGCTCTACACTACTAGCATTTAAAATTGTTTGATTTAGGCCATTTAGGGTATGTAGGTACTAGGTACCTATAAGAGTTTAAGTACTTGTATAATACTTTCTTCTCTAACTTATCATCACAACAGTTTTTGATAGTACCTACCTATACCTATATAAAAACGAATTACATAATTAATTACTTCTATTTGCATATTATATTTTTAATACATTTCATGAATGAGACCTTTATGTTCATAAACAATGATATTATATGTATTAGGCTCTAAAAATCAGTGACGGAACATAAGTCTATAAAATCTAAGTTAGGTTTACATTTTATTTTAACCGACTGTAATGCTTTTACTCTTTGGATATTCTCTGAGATTTGTCTTGTTCAGTTTTTTGATTTGTTAGTCTATTATAAGTTTGGACATGTAATGGCATTAGCAACACGATGTAATTTGCTTTTGTAAATGTTTACGAAAACTTGAATAGATCGTGGGGATAGGGTATTATTTTGTACACTGACTTGGATATTCGGGAAAGCTCTGTTTTTTTTTTGTCAAACACGTGCTGACCTTAAAAATGGTGTGCGAACCTAACCTGTAACGTAGTAACCCACTACCGCGCCACTGGTGGTGTCGTCTGTGATTGTTGGTTCCCATTGGGGTAGTCTACGCGGCATTTTGCGCGGTTTGGGCGACAGTTCGCCGGCATCGCTCGCACGTTTCCGCCGTTTCTTCCGATAGATCCCGTAAGTATTATTTTTAATATTAATTCGGTTGATATGCGTGTAATCAAAAATTATATAAAATTGTAAATGAGTGCTTAAAGTAGGAATATACACGTTATACGTATGTGGATTTATAAACGCAGTTTTAAATGCAATAAAATTGATGAAATATAAAAGTTAAATTTACTAGGTATCTTTTTATTAATGAATTATATTAGTTAAAAATATTAATTAAACGAAATCCATAA